GAGAAGCTTCCAGATCTGACCTTGAACAAAGGAAGAAGCATGCTCAGGGCAAGACCTTACCCAGTTAAGCTTCCAATTTATGAGCTGAAAAAATAGTTTTCTGATCTCAGAAAACCAAAGTCTATAAAAGTTGCTGATAATATGGATGAAGGAGGCAAAGTTCTTCCTGAGAAACTGACAGCCAAACTTGGCAGTGCCATTTGTGCGGTGCTGGCTTTAGAGGCATGAAAGACGCAGGAGTCAGGAGGTCATCAGACTCACCCCTGATACTTCAGAGAGCCACTAAGGCCAGGCAGCATGTGTCAGAGCATCTCTGTATAAAGAAGTCCTGGGAGGGCTGGGAAGACGGTTCAGCAATTAGAAGCACTGGCTGCTCTTGCAGAGGACCCGGGTTAGATTCCCAGCACCCATATGGTAGCTAATATCTATCTATAACTCCAATTCCAGGGGAATCCAATGCCCTCTTCTGACCTCTGTAGGCATTGCACAGCATGAGTTCACTTACACACATGCAGGCAATACCCTCATACACATAAAATAAAAATAATCAATAAACATTTTTAAAAAGAAGTCCCTGAGAGTCCAAGATGCCCCGAGAAGACAATTGAATGTAGCTGTGAAGTCAAACCTGGGATATGGTAGATACCCTAAAATATTACAGATGCCAGTGGTGTGAGGCATCTGCCAAGGAGAGCTGTGTATAGGGAAAGGTACCAGCCCAAGAGAGGAATGTACGCTTCAGGTAACAAAGTAGGAGAGGCTGAGCCATCTAAGTTCTTTGGAAGTAAGTCACAGACATCAGACATGAAGATACAGGATTTGGTGTCTGCCCTTGTAGGTTCTGGTCTTGTTTGATTTAGTATTTCCCTACTATGCCTCCATTCTTCCCTTTTGGAGTGGAAATGTGTATTTAGTTCCATTGTATGTTGGAAATGTATAATTTGTCTTTTTCATTTCGTGGGGTATCAAAATTGTGTTTGCCCTGAGTCTAAGAAAAGGATCTGGACTTCTGAATAGTATTGAGATTTAAAGACTATAGCGCTATTTGAAGTTGGACTAAGTGTATTGTGTTATGTTATAGTCATGAACCTATGAGGACCAGGGAGAAGAACGTGGTGATTTTGATGAGACACAGCCCCCATAGGCTCAAATATTTGATGGCATTTTTTTGCAGAAGTTCATGGGACCTTTAGGAGGCATGACCTTGTTGGGGGAAGCACATCACTGGCAGCCAGCTTGGAGAGTTCACAGTCTTGCCCCATTTTTAGATTTGCTCTCTCTGTTCCCTAGGCCTCCTTGTGTGATTTTGAAAGAGAGATGTGGACTGACACAAAATCATCTTCAAACATGTTAACAACTATTTCATAGGTTTATTTTGTGTTATGGCAAAAGGAGAATTTAAAGGATAATGGATAGACTGGTTTCACTTCAGTATGATGAAGAGCTATCTAAGAATTAGAGTTGTCCAACCACAGAACAGACTCTTTGAAGCATACACTGTATACCCTCATTTTTTCAATCATGTTTGCATGTAGTGGTATAGCAAGAAGTATTAAACCTATCACGTACTGGAAACAGCAATAGGTATGCAGGATAAATAAGTAATGGCATGATAGCTATCACCAAGAAACTGAAAATTGGTGAGGGAAAAGACTCATTACAAATCAAAGTAAGATGTTAGAGAACTCCATCAAGGTAAGGCATCTACCCCAGCCTGGACCATGAATACTCTGAAAAAAGATTTTCAAGTGAGGAAATATCTGAGTGGAATTACAAATACTAAACAAGGAATACAGAGTGGACAAAATGGTTGGTATTAAATGGGATGAAATATCTCAAAACACAGAAGGCAAATCAAAAACATTTGGATAAGATAGCTTGGTGAATACAGGAAACAAATGTCATAGGTGGAACAGGAAGATTCAGAAACCGAAGAAGAAATGTCCAATTGTCGAGCTTCCAAGGGCTATGTGCCTGAGACTGTTTCTCTACAGAGAGATGTGTGTCTCAAAAGTATCCAAGCCATGAAGAAATCTATTCTTTCTATTAATGTAAGATTATCAAAAAGAGAAATGATAAGAAGTGAAAAATGTACCCTAAATGAGTGATGTAGTCGGACTTCAGTGTTTGAAAAGCTGTTCAGGTCAATGTCCCTTTCTATAATATGGAAAATCATATGAAAGCTGTGAGACATGAGGGTGAGACAGTCACCATGTTTTCTGGCATAGACTATGTAGCCTTTGTTAAAATTGGTAATTCAAGAAGAGATTAAAAAGAGAGAGCCTGGGACTGGGGAGATATCTCTCTCAGTGTTTAAGAACGCTTGCTGTTCTTGCAGGGGACCTGAGTTTTGTTCCCAGCACCCAAGTCTGGTGGCTCCCAACCTGCTATAACTCCACCTCCAAGGGAATGAAAGTCCTCTGGCCGCCAGGAGAACCCACATGAAGTTGCACACATTCACATAATCATAAATAAAATTAAAAAAATAAGCCAGGTGTGGTGGCACACACCTTAATCCCAGCACTTGGGAAGTGGAGGCAGAGGCAGGCAGATTTCTGTGAGTTCAAGGCCAGCCTGGCCTACA